ACAGGGTGACCAAGGCAGATTCAGTACCATACCCGGGTCTGAAGCCGGACTGAAATGGGTCCAGATAATCAGTCTCATCCAAGAGAGCTTGGAGTTGTCCTGCCACCACCCGCTCCAGCACCTTGCCAAAAAACAGGATGTTGGCCACCGGTCTATAATGGACGGCCATCTCTGGATCCAGGGACGCCTCCTTTAGGACCAGCCTGACCACTGCCTCCTTTAGAGGGGCAGGCACCCGGCCATCCTTCAAAGAGGTGATGATGACCTCCCAGATCCAGGAACCAATCCCGTGTTTGGCTTTGGATAGTAGCCACGATGGGCAGAGGTCCAGTAAACAGGTGGTGGTACGTACTTGTCCAAGCACCTTGTCCACGTCATCAGGCCGCAATAACTGAAACTCATCCAATAATGTGTGAGCAGACGGTAACATTGGCACCTCCCCTAAGGAATCTGAGTCACTAGTGGAGTCCAGCTTGTGATGAATCTGAGCGACTTTCTCCTTGAAGTGCCGGGCAAAGTCGTCACAGCGGGTTATCGAGGGTGGTACAGGATCTTTCTTGGGGCCTGGCTGTACCAGCCCCTGTACCACCCGAAAAAGTTCCGCTGGACGGCACTGTGAGGAGGCAATGGAAGTGGAGAAGAATTTCTTCTTTGCTGCCCTCACCGCCACAGCATAGGCCCGATAATGGGCTCTTAAGTGTGTTCGGTCAGATTCATCCTGTGATTTTTTTCCACCTATGGTCTAGTTGTCTCCCAACCCGCTTCATTGCCCGTAATTCAGGTGTGTACCAAGGGGATGAACAGGCTCTGCTCGGCAGGAGAGGATGCTTAGGAGCGATCGTGTCAATAGTTCTGGTCATTTCCCCATTCCACAGTTTGACCAGAGCATCAACAGGAGCGCCAGCTTTATCAACCAGAAACTCCCCCAGAGCTTTCAGGAATCCATCCAGATCTGAGGACGGACCCACACAATAGGGTCCGCACCCTTACAGAGGGAAAGGCCACCATCGAGCTCAAATCTCATGAGGAAGTGGTTTGACCATGACAGGGGAGTCAGACACAAATTCCTCACCCTCAGATCACCCACTTCCTGTTTCTCACTACTACAATTCTAGTCTCTGAGTCCTGATTAATACATCCATATACATAGTTCAGTGTCTTAGGCCCCACCTTCATGCCTTACTTGCTCACATAATCAAAAGGCAGCATCACTGGCTGCTCTCAAAAGTCCGTGAATAAATTGATTACCTGAATGAGTAAAGGAGACTGTGAAATCGGGGGAAAAATTCTGGTAATAGGTAATCTGGTTCAAAAGTTTTTCCCCCCTTTCCTATCTGATCCAATTTATTCTCTTAACAGAAGATTTATTTAAGTGGAACATTAACACATCAGTTCTGTTGGATGCAATGAATATTCCTAGGATTAAATAAAGAGGCAAAGGTTCTGCCACTTTTATCCATAAAAGTCTAGCAAAACTCCATTTCTCACTGGGATTTGCAAAGTATGAATTAAAATATCCACTTCTCTTGCTGCTGCAGGGATGACAATGTGCAGTAATAAGGAAACATTTAATTTGCAATGTTGATGCAAAAAGCTGGTGCAAGAGGTTGCACGTGGACAAAGCAAGCAAGCAAGCAAGCACACATTGATAATACAGGAATACTACCCAGATTACTGTAAGTAGCATGGTATTAAAAATGTAACTTTCAATTTCAAGTTCTGTAGATCTTTTGAGATTTTTGAATTCTAATATGTATTCAAGTCTAACAAGAGTACAGTGGTACCTTGGCTCACAAATGCCTCAGTTCACAACCAAATCGGGTCACAAACAAAAATTTCATAAAAAGTTTGGCTCAGGTCGTGACCTCTGCATTGGGTGGCGACCGCAATCGTGGCCATCTCTCCATCACCCCCGAGTGGGGAGGTGGCAACGATCGTGCTGGGGGCGGGGGGGGGGGGGGAGGGCGGGGTCCTGGCCCGCTTTTCCGCCGGGGGACAACCCCGGTCTTGGCCCCCCCCCCCCCCCCCCACCCCTGGCGTTCTCCCCCACCCCCCCCCCGAGAGTGCCTGCGATCGTGCCCGTCTCCCCCCCCACATCACACGGAGATGATGGGCACGTGCAGGGATCAGGGGTGTGATCGCAGTCATGCTGGAGGGGCGGGGAGGGCTGCAATCTTTGTTGTTGTCACTTTGCTTTACATTTTTTCTGATTTAAAAAATAGTTACAGAACGGATTGACCTTATTTACATTGAACCTTATGAGGTCATGACCAGAGTCCTGGAATGGATTAAGTTCGTGAGCCAAGGTACCACCGTATTCTCTCTGATACATAGGAGAGTATCTGCTCTGTAAGCGGTATAAAATATTGGTTGAAAAAGGGAACATGGAATCTAGATCTATGTTTCCAAAGCAGCTTACTTGTTTGCCTGCCCCTCCTATGTCTAAGCAGGAAGTTTCCAATCCATCAGAGCTACTGAATGAACTTCCCCTGTTCTTTAGCAATCTTTACTTGCAATGATTTTGGACAGAGTTGTAGAAAAAAAGAAGGCACACAAACCTGTTCACCCAGTACTTGTGTACCAAGGTTAATGTCTAAAGTTGTTTTTAGATACATACAGCTATTAAAACGCAATGCTACCTGATGTCTTTACAAGCCTGCCTTATAAAAGATTGCAAGAACAGACTGTCTCTCTCCTTTCCAGTAAAGAAAGTAAATTTTTGCAAATTGTATTAACATAAGAATTTGTGTCTTCTGGGTTTCCAGTCTGTACAGGTTCTATCTAGGGAGAAAAAAGTCTTTTATGGGGCAGCTGAAAGTAAATGTGCTTTTCGGTCTTTGGACCTAATCTCTCTAAGCTACCCCTCAGCAGGTGGACAGCATTTAAGATAGCTCAGGTCATTCCTCAGAAGAAATTGGTTAACATACCATGTGTGCTTGTGCGCCTGCATGTGTGTGTGTTTTAAATATATGCTGTGACTGTCTATAATTTAGTGTGATAAGAGCAGTACAAGCCACAGCTTCTCAATCTCCTCCCCTTCCCTCTCTAGCATTGCTGTGAACAGTTCAGAAGTTTTTACTTCAATTTCCATTAACCATTCTCAACCCTAAGCTTCGGTTAATATTAATTTTAGTTAGCTTAAATACACTAACTTTTAAACAAAATTTTGGATTGAAGTTGACTTGTTTCAAACAAATCACACTGCTCTATTTGCAACTTTGAAACAGTTGATAAGTGATTTAGTTTGTTCTTGTACTAATTTTGTCCTGTTATTCATCTCAATGAATCATTTTGTAGAATATGCTGAGCCCAACAGATATGTTAGTATTCTAAAGTTATGAGCAAAATCCTACATTTTCAGTTATTATCCTAAAGCAATAATCTTATACATACGTGCCTGTGAATCAGGCACAGTGGGATTTACTTCAGAGTAGAAGTGAGAATACATTTAGTTGTGAGCTCTAGCTGTATTTTTTGTTTTCTCACTGACCCTGAGTAAGAGTTTCTTGAGTAGAAATGAGTTAGTAAGAAAACAGATTCCTTTGCACCTTTGAGGTTTCCTCTTTTCTTCATTTTCTGCACTGATCATTTCCTCTCTCCATTTCTACATAGATTGGCTTGTTTTTCAGTTGAAGTGTTAGAACTGCAAAACTGCATGGTTAAAAGTCATCTAACCTAATTTTTGCCCATAGGAATGAAATTCTGCATGATTTATAGCATCAGCAAATTAGACCACTTTGCTTTATAATATGAGACATTCACATCTGTACCTTTACAAAACAGAAAAGGAATAAATAGCTGAGATTTTCTTTTTTGTTATAGAGTGGGCTTAATAAGCATTAATGTTCTAAAGTACAGAAGTTATATAAAAAATGCAGCAAGATTCCTGGCAGAAACACTTACCGAATTCATTCCACTAAAGAGGTCTCCTGAACCTACATGAGCTGTGTGAACAAAGTTTGTTGGTTCACCAATCATACTCCGATCAATTCGCCGCCGTCTTTTCTGAATAGAAGAAACAAGGCATCAGTTTCGTCTAAAGGGGACTGACACACAGGGCAGATTTTAAATGTAACTAGAAAGATACTTCTATTTACAGAAAAGTAAATGCATTTTTAGCTTGGAACAAACATTCTTGGTTAAAAGCACAATCCTGTAGGATGTCTTTTTATTTAAATGTACATTTAAACACTGAATGTGTGCACATATATACACGCACTATATGTTCAAGGACCACTGGGGGTGCTCTGATCTTTTGGATTTGTTTTGGGTAGTTGACCTCTTCCTTGTGAATAATCTGTAATTTTAAAAATATTGTTATGAATATAACTGAGCACTAAAGATGGCTTCACAGAACAAAAATAAGCAGTGAAATCTTCTATTGGGCTATCTCATTCCTCTTTCTGTTTCAATACACATTCCTAACACAACTCTAGCAGAAAGTGATCAGTGTGTGTTCTAGTTAAAAAAAAAAGGGTCATTTACATCATGAAGTATGTTGCATGCTCGTATATGTTTTCAATCTGCTTCCTCTACATTCATGTTCAGATTTCAGAAGGATCTGCTGCTTCATTTTTCCAAAGATGGAAAAAAATATAACTGATGAGGTACCCACTGACATGCAGCAATGCAACACTCTGATGCTGTGGTTAGAGGCCACACTCCTAATCCAAAATACAAAAGCAAGCTGAATATCTTATTTTTTCCAAGTTGGTTTCTCTCTTTCTAAACTCCTAACCACCAAAATCAAAAGACAATGTTCACATTCCATTCCATTGTCTATCAACACAAAAACAAAGAGTCCATATCTTTTTTCAATAATAAAAGCTGGACTTTGGATAGTAACAAAAGAAGAGCCCTACAATGAAACTAAATGTTGCACAACTGCCCTGAAGAGCTTTCTTGACCCCACTGCCACCAACCCATAAACCTTTCTCTATCACATATTTTAAAGGGATCAGCATCTTCCAACTCGTGGTATGTGACAAGATGGTAGGACCACCTAGAGTTCTGGGTGGGAGTTTACACATTTCATCAGCAGGATTTCTGCTGTCCAAACACTGTCCTAGTTGAGTCACTGCAAATCAAAGCCACAGCTGAGAATACATCATGGGCCATAGCCCATAAAAGCAAGATATGTTTGGAATGAACTCAAGCCCACAACAGGCATGCCCTTTCCAGGGACCTCCTGCTTTTTCTGGATAACTAACACACCAGGGTTGCTGAACTCTCTTACGTAAATGTTAAGCATGCAAGATCGGGAGAAAAAAGCTGCTGGCACAATAATGCTAAACACATGTACTTGGTGTGGGTTCCATTGATTTCAATGGAATTTGCTTCTTAGGATGCTTAAGGTTACTGCCTAGTCCTATCACCCACTTCAGCCATTGCAGTGGGCATGCTGTCAAGAAACTGTTATCAGCCTGGGTCAGGACATAGAAAACTAATTCACAACCCACCCATCCTCCATATACCTACAAACATGTACTCCTAGAGTACTGAAATGAAAGAGCTGGGAATGCTGACAAGGATGTAAAGCAACATCACAGTTGGTGGTGCCTTCTAAGCATCATCTCCTGCTGACTCCAGAATTGTAGGGAAATCATCCTGGAGTGTTCAAGCCTCCTAAAATTTCAGTTTGATGGAGATGAACATAAAATCCTGCTAGTGCAACACCTTAGATATTCATTTATTTATATCCTGTCTTCATCACAAGGAGCCTGGGTAGGCTACCTGTACAACACATTAAAATGATGTGTCTAGAAAGCAATTAAGTCATGTTGCAGCCATTTGTACAATTTCTCTATATATTCAAGAAGTGAACCTTTGTAACTGGAAGCTCCAGTTACTATGACAACAGAGGCATCAGCTGAAGTTGTTCCTGTTCTAAAGCTGCTAAGCACAAACTTTACACCCACTCAGAGTTCAACTATGTACAGTCTAGTATCTGTATTTTTTCAAATGCATTTATGTATCCGTTTTGCTTCCATGCTCTTTCTCTTTTCCTTCAGGGCTCCTTCACACAAGAAAAATATTCTATACTGATCTCTCATCTAAGTATAACACATGTGCCACGTTGTCTCTTACCTGCAAACAATACCCTGTTGGATACACACTATATGTGGGTGCAGTTCTCACTGTAGTAGGGTGGTATAACTGCCAATCTAAAAATTATGGAGGGGGTAGCTGGAACTGCTACTAATTCATATCTTCAACTAAGAATAACATATATTCTACAATCCATAAGGTATCAATATGGCACATTTGGGAAAAAAACCATTATCCTGTCAAAGTTAATATATCATCCCACATACCCAACCGTGCAGCAAGAAAACTAGACACGAGATATTCAAAAGCCTGTTTTCAGCACTGTAGATAACTTATTGCTACAAATATACAAGCAGGTTGCTTACCTGTAACTGATGTTCTTCGAGTGGCCATCTGTGCAGTCACACATATGGGTTCTGTGCCTGCGCAGTGCCTTTGGCCAGAAGATTGATAGCTAACGGTTTGGTGGGAAAACTCTGCTCCCCTCCCCCCTAGCAGTATATATGGAGCGGAGTGTCCGCCATTTTCCAGTCTTTGCGACCACCATTCGTTGTACCTCGTGCCAGAAAAAGTTTGTCAGTACCGAAGAAAGAATAGAGCCACCCAATGACACCAAGCGGGGCCGGCGGGTGGGTTGTGTGACTGCACAGATGGCCACTCGAAGAACATCAGTTACAGGTAAGCAACCTGCTTTTCTTCGTCGTGGCCTCTGTGCATCACACATATGGGTAGAATAACAAGCTTACCCGAAATGGTGGAGGGAGGTGTCATCAATGAAGAATAGTTGAAAAAACGGCTCTGCCAAAGGAGCAGTACTGTCTAGCAAGAACATCCAGTCTATAATGCCTAGCAAAAGTACATGGAGTAGCCCAGGTGGCAGCTCTGCAGACATCCTCAATTGGAACTCCTGACGCAAAAGCTGAGGAAGCAGCTACAGCTCTAGTAGAATGACCCCGGGGAACTGTAGGTAAGTCTATCTTGGCCAATTGATAGGACAGAGTAATAGTGTGAACTATCTATTTGGACAGTCTCTGAGGAGTAACTGGGAAACCTTGATGTTGTTCTGAGTATTTAACGAAGAGCCTATTGGAATGCCAAACAGACTCAGTCCTCGATCTATAGAAGGCTAGACAGCGCCGGACGTCGAGAGTATGCCGGGATCTCTCAATTGGATTCGAAGGAGACAGGAAAAAGGTAGGCAAGATAATTTCCTGGTCCATGTGAAAAGACGTAGCCTCTTTTGGAAGAAAAGACGGATCCATTCACAGAACTACCTTCTCTTTGTGAAAGTTCAAAAATGGAGGGTCTACCCTGAGGGCACAGAGTTCACTAGATCTCTGGGCTGAAGTAACTGCTACAAGGAAAGCAGTTTTCCAAGAAACAAGAGGTAAGTCAATTGTTGCCAAGGGTTCAAAAGGAGGTCTTGTCAGTGCCTGTAACATCACTGAAAGACTCCATGTAGGCATAAGCGGTCTGACTGTCGGATGGAGGCTGCAGAGTCCCTTAAGAAATCTCTTAACCAATGGTTGAGAAAAAATGGAAGAACCGTGCACTGTACAGCAGTAATAGGAAATTGCCGCCGTATACACTCTTATGGAGGATGGTTTAAGTCCAGAACGGTGGAGTTCTAAAAGGAACTGGAGGATATGATCTATGGATGCAGAGTTCGGTGAAAATGAGTGAGTTTCAGCAAAACTAGAGAATCTACGCCACTTCGCCGCGTACGATTTTCAAGTGGACGGCCTTAGCGCAGAATCGAGAATATACTGGATGTCCGGATGAAGAACTCGCGAAGCCGACAGAATATTCATCGGATCCGAGGATGCAGAGGAGGTAGATGGATTCACAGCGTGGAATGGTGTGTCAGACTTAGGGATAGGATCAGTAGGAACTGCAGATGGCGTCGGTACCGGGCCAACGTTGACTGCTATTGAATTCGCCAGGCTGTCAGTTTCAGTGACGCTAGATCCGGGTGCCGGATCGTGCCCTCCCACTGAGTTATGAGATAAGGAATAGGAGGGAGTTGAAGGTATTCCTCTCGAGAAATGTGAAGAAGTGTTGAGAACCATGGCTGGCGTGGCCACCAAAGAGTTATCAGCAGTCCTGTGGCCCCGTCGTGAATTACCTTTGTTATTACTCTCATGATGAGGGGAATCAGGGGGTAAGCGTAAAACATCATATCGTTCCAAGGGATCATAAAGGCATCCCCGGACAACCTCCATCCGATTCATGCTCTCGAGCAAAAAGTCTCGCACACCCTGTTTTGTTGGGTGGCGATAGGTCTATATCTGGGAGGCCCCATCGCTGGAACAGCCTGTTGCATGTCTGACAGTCCAGTTCCCATTCGTGCGACTTGGACATGTGTCTGCTTAAGAGATCTGCTTCCACATTGTCCATACCCGCTAGATGTACTGCTATCAGGGTAATATCTCTCGGTATGCACCACTCCCAGATTTGCATCAATAGCTGGGCTAACACTGGGGACTTCGTCCCCCCTTGCTTGTTCAAGTAAAAGACTGTGGCAATGTTGTCCGAGGTTATCTGGACGATTCGACGGCGAAGCACATCCTCGCATGATTGTAGCGCTTTGAATACTGCAAGAAGTTCCAGGAAATTGATATGATTCCTGGACTCCTGTAGATTCCAAACACCCTGCATGCAAAGGCCAGAGCACAGGGCTCCCCATCCCAGCAGAGATGTATCGGTACCGAGAGTCACTGTAGGGTACCGAGGTCAGAACGGAACTCCGATGTTTAGGTTTTCTAAACATCTATGCCATCCACCATAATAGAGATTGTAGGACAGAGGACAGGAGTCGAATCCACTTCGTAGGTAAATCCGTCTGTGGCCGGAACGTTCTGTTGAAGAGCAGTTGAAGGGGGCAAAGCCGAAGTTTGGCATATGGAACTACAGCAATGGATGCTGCCATGTGCCCCAAAAGTCTTTGAACAGATCGG